AACCCCAATTAGGGGACTTATAACCTTACTTACTAAGTCCCATGATCCTCCAAGTACTACTCTAGACCCTAAACCCTAAACCCTAAACCCTAAACCCTTACTTACTAAGTCCCATGATCCTCCAAGTACACATGCCCAAAATCTTAGAGCGCAGACCTTCCAACCCTGAAGGTTCCTATGCCCTGGAATTCACGCGGCGAAGCCGCGCCCTAAACCCTAAACCCTAAACCCTAAACCCTAAACCCTAAGCCCTAAACGAAACCTCTGATGTCGGACAGGCAGCATGATGATGAGAGCAGACCCGGTGGAAAATCCGGACACCACCTGCAGTTCATGCTTTTACCCTAAGGGTCCATGTACCCAAATAGTATATACATTGGCCCCAAAGTTCCTATATAGGGACTACTTTAAGGCCAAAGTATATACTATTTTGGTACATGGACCCTTAGGGTTAGGTTTAGGGGTGAGGGATGGTGGTCAAACAGAAAGAGACGAACACCTAAACCCCAAACGCTACTCGCACCCGCCCTTCCGGGGTGACGGTTTTGGTTTGTAGGACCCTGTTAAAAGAGCCTTCTATGACCCTAAACACCCAAACAGCAAGCTCTCAGCACCGGGCGGGATGCCCCAAGAATTTCAGCAGAAAGCCCAGCTGAAGAACCTGGAGCTTTGGTGCAGCGGAAGTAGGTTAGGAAGGCTTTAGGGCTCAGGGTTTAGGGGTTCAGGGTTTAGGGTTTAGGGTTTAGGGTTTAGGGTTTAGGGGTTTAGGGTTTAGGTTCAGGGAGATGTTCTGATTTCTCTGGGTTGCTTCACTTTTATGAGATCTTTACGAGGGTATTGTAATCTTCTACAGGTTACCGGGATTCTATGTGGCGTGTTACATCGGGGCGTTTAGGTTGATGCTTCAGGCACCGCATGAGATGAAGATTCCTGAAGCGCTTACCGTTGCGTGACGGCATCGCTAGTTCCTCTTGCGAATTAGTCCTGCCTGTAAATCACTCAACTTCGAACCACGAGCACCCACGTTTTAGGAGAAACTGCAGTCGGATGTTGGGTTTAGGGTTTATAGGGCTTTGGGTGGTCTATGAGCTGAGGCCAACACCCAAACCGGGCTGAAGGGGCAGAGGGCAGAGTAAACCCTAAACCCTAAACCCTAACCCTAACCCTAAACCCGAACCCTAAACCCTAAACCTAAACCCTAAACCCTAAACCCTATCATGTCTGAGGGGTCAGGGCTCCCGGCGGCTACGGCTGGCCCCTAGCCTTCCCGTCTCCAATCCCGAGTAAAGGCTTGGGGCGGGAAGAGCGGTTTCAGAAGTTTTCATATGGGTAGTTCTCTAAATTCGGTTTCCTTTTTTTAGGTCCCAATATCGCACGGCACCCATATAAAAAGGACCCCCAAAGGGACCCTCATTTAGAAAACTGAACCCTTTGCTGCCGGCTCAGGATCGCAGCGGCACGAAGCATAAATGCTGAGAAGGAGCGCAGGCAAGCAATAGGACGGATCCAGCCAGAAGCGAGGTCAGGACAGTCTCGGCTGCTCAAGCTTACCCTGAGGCTCAAAATAGCCCAAAAGCCTTATATTGTATGGTCTTTGGGCCCAAAAGCCTTAATATATGAGTCCTTAGATCCCTAGGGTTTGTGCTTAATAATGGGAATTTATGCTAGAAAGGAGGTGGTTGGAGGTCTAGGTTGGGATTCCTTGGCCCCAAAGCCTTCCGGGACGCTTGGAGCCCTTAGAGCCTGTATAAAGGGTTCCTTTAAGGGATTTATAAGGGTTCCTTTTAAGGGATCTATAAGGGTTCCTTCAAGGGATCTATAATAGACCGTAGATAGAGCCCTGATACTTGTAGAAACCTTGGATTGGGAAGTTAGGTGTTTCGTTTTTCTCGGCTGTAGGGATCTTAACACAGGGATCCGACACACAGGGACTATGCGTCAACACCATTAGTACTCATCCCGACCCTACATTAACGCTGGAGGAGCCATCTAGCCATCAGGTCTGCGGAGCGCGCCACCCAATGCACTGGTGCCCCACCTCTTTCGCAGCTCAAGCGGCTTACGATCCTCCTCTTGCCTTCACCTGTAATACTACCCTAAACCCTAAACCCTAAACCCTAAACCCTAAACCCTAAACCCTAAACCAAGTCGCAAGGCCTCTGACTGAAACCAAGGCCATACCCAGAACCCCCAGGTGCCGCCAAAGACCTTCAAAGGGAACCCCGCTTTCAGACCGATCAAGCCATAGAACACCGAAGCCCAACAACCTAACCTAGCAACCTGTAACAAACAAACCTCAAAACCCCTAAAGCCGCAACCATACCAAGGTAGGTGATGACCTCTTAAGCCCCAGAAGACTCATAGCAGTAGGCAGTTGGAGCCACAGGTAATGCAGTGGCCTAAATAGTTAGAACAAGGTTTATATTGCAGCACACGTATACTTATAACCGGACTACAGGGGGGATAGTCTTACTTATTCCGACACCCCATACTTGGGGGTTTCCTAAAATAGGGGACCCTAATATAGTACCCTAATAATGGGATACTTATTATAAGGACTCCAAAATAAGGCACCCCTAATTTTCGGAAACTCTCACTTCGCTCCCCCGAACCCCGGCTCCTGTCTTTCGGGTTGGCTTCGAACAGATCAACTTCTGGCCTGCACGCTGTGGGATTTTGGGGATCGAGTACTTTGGGGACCCGAAATGAAGTAGTCTAAACCCCAAACCCTAAACCCTAAACCCCAAACCCTAAATCCTAAACCCCTCTACCCAAAACTAGCTTTCCTTAGTATGCTGAGAACCTCATTCCATTCGGCTTGGGTTGAGTGCTGGAGCTCGGGGGCCTCTAGCATGGGCTGCATGTGATAACCGCTTCGGGTTCTATCATAAAGGGTTCAGGGTTCTATACGGGGGTTTCCGAAAATAGGGGACCCTAATATAGTACCCTAAATAATAGGATCCTTATTATAAGGACCCCCAAAATAGGGTACCCCTAATTTTCGGAAAGTCCCATACAGCTTCTACAAGTGTTCTTTACGTGTTCTATGCCGGCTTAAGGCTTAATTAAGGGCTTACGGCATAAAGTTTCAAGCTTGAGGATTCGGGAGGCTAGGGTTTAGGGTTTAGGGTTTCGGGTTTAGGGTTTAGGGTTTAGGGTTTAGGGTATAAGGTTTGGGGTTTAGGGTTTAGGGTTTAGGGTGTAGGGTTTAGGGTTTAGGGGTTTTAGAGGGATTGAAACGTTCAAAGCCTAGGGCCGAGAGCCTACACCGTAAACCCTAAACCCCCTGACCGCCAAATACTGACACCTAAGCCGAGCCCGTAAACGTTTAGGGTTTAGGGTTTAAGGTTTAGGGTTTAGGGTTTAGGGTTCAGAACCCTACGTCAAGGATCGGGCGAATGTGCTGCTACTAACGACCCTTTTGTGACCCCCAAAAGGCCAACAAAGACATTGGGAGCCCCGGAACCCTAAACCCCTAAACCCCTAACCCCTAAACCCCTTAAAAAACCCGTAAACCCTAGACCCTTAAAGATCCCTTTAAAGGAACCCTCATAGATATGGTACCCTTTTTAAGGAACCTCTTTAAAAACAAACTAAACCCCTAAACGCCAAACTCTTCGAGGCTCTGGCAACTGCTGCAGCAAGCTGTCGAACCTGCCTTTCGTCTCCTCACCTCGGCTTAGGGCTTTTAGGCTTTAGGGTTTTAGGGGGTTTAGGGCTTAGGGTTTAGGGCTGTAAGGTTTAAGGCTTCAGGGTTTAGGGCTTTAGGGGTTTAGGGTTTAGGGTTCAGGATTTAGGGTTTTAGGGCTTTAGGGGCTTAGGGGTTTAGGGGTTTGGGGTTTAAGGGCTTACGGGTTTAGGGTTCAGGATTTAGGGTTTTAGGGTTTTTTAGGGGTTTAGGGTTTGGGGTTTGGGGTTTAGGGTTGTGGTTTAGGGTTTAGGGTTAAGGTTTTAGGGTTAGGGTTTAGGGTTCCTGTAAGGGCTCCTTCTACAGGTTACCTTAAAGGGTTTCGGATGGTTTCGGATTAGGGTTTAGGGCTTTGGGGGTTGTTTGAGAGTTTAGGATTAGGGTTCTTCAGGGTTTAGGGGTTGAGGGTTTCGGTTTTAGGCTTTTGGGGTTTAGGGCTTAATGTTTACGGGTTTAGGGGTTGGCGGTTGGTGCCTTTACAGCCTCCCTTTAAGTGCTCCCCGTAACGATTCCCTGTAAGGGTTCGTTCCCTTTAAAGGAAGTCTAGACCCTAGTAAACCCTTAAAGGAACCCCCCCCTAAACCCCTAAGGGCTCCCTTTAAGGGTTCCCTTTTCAGGATTTTCGGGATTTCTTTAAGGGTTTAGGGTTTAGGATTGAAGGGTTGCTTCCTTTAAGGGCTCCCTGTACGGGTTCCTTTCCGGGTCTCGGGTTCTTTTATAGGGTTTAGGGTTTAGGGTCTAGGACGTTCTAAGGGTTTAGGGTCTAGGGTCTAGGGTTTAGGGTTTAGGGTCTAGGGTCTAGGATTTAGGTGTTCCTTGAAGGATGCTCAGCGTTCTTAAAAAAGGTTTCTATAAAGGGTCTCTATCGGATTCCTTTCAAGGTTCCTTTAAGGGTTTCTGTAAGCAGTTTCTTTCGGATTCCTCTAGGGGCTTCGGGATCCTTTCCGGGTTCCTTTCTAGGGTTTAGGGTTCCTGTAAAGTTCAAAGCTTACTTAGCATTTAGCGTTTAGGGTTCAGGGTTGTTTGTATTTTTGGTTTTTTATTGTGTTTCTTAGGTTTTTGTGTTGCTTCTTTGCGTGTCGAGGGGTTCAGGGTTGCCCAGTGCCGCTTTTCCAATTCGCCTCGTTTTTTTGTTTCCAATTATCTGTGTGCGCACGTGTTCTCTGTGTGTGTGTGTGTGCGTGCATGTGTTTGTTGTGTCTTGCGGTTGGTGGTTTGGAGCTTTGGGAAGTTAGGGGTTTAGGGGGTTTAGGGTTTTGGGGTTTGGGGCTTGGGGTGTGTAAATCGGCTTTATGGGGCGTCATAGGGGTTTATAGGGTTCTCAACGAATGTTTTTACAACTCTAATAAGTTGTTAAACCGCCGCTTTAAAGTGTTTGCAATAGCTTTTCAATTCTGTTTTAATTTTGTAAAGGCTGCTAGTTGTTTGATAGATGTTGCACCGGCTTTTCGTAGAGTGTCAAATAAGGTTGAAATATTAGGATTTTAACAGGGCTTAGGGCATTTGGTGGTACAGGTTTAGGTTAACGTTTTAGGGTTTGGGCTTTGCGGTGTGGGGTTTTGGTTCATGGTACCTCCAACAGCAGAAACTCTATACAGTTTAACTCGTATTTCCGCTCTCTGGGGGAAAGGTATTTTTCGGGTTTGAAGTTAAAGATGTCGGTAGTTTTTGTGGCATTTGGGTAGGTATTGGTGCTTTGGATCTTGAATGTAGGGCTTAAGGTATGGATTCCTGCACTTTGCTTGACTTGCTTTCTAAAGGAGCCCAATACCCTTTTGTTAATGAAGGAATACACATTAGACTATAGGGGCCTAATAAAATATTATGGCTTAATGATATTCGAATTCCTTAATTAAGGAGTATTGGGCTCTCTGGGTTAACAGTTAACAGATTAGGGCTACCTCCTGAATGCGTCAGGACAACTTCTTGGCATTTAATGGCCTGCCGCTTCTTGAGACACCAATACCGAGACTTTGTTCGAAACCCTGGACCAAAAACCATACAACCTCTGCAATCCAAAACCCGAAACCTTACACCCTACGCCCTAAACTCTACACCATAAGCCCTGACACAACACAAGCTAAACCACGCCGAGGAACAGTCGAGGTCCAAGATCAAGCTTTGATGGGCCTGGGCCACGCGGGCCCACTCCACCTGACACCCCACGCCCTCCCACCGAACTCCAGACCTGACTTAGGGCTTAAGCTTTGTAGGGCTTAAGGTTTAGGGTTTAGGGTTTAGGGCTGAAGGTTCGAGTTCCGGGCTGCTGGTTTCGGGTTTATAAAAGTTGAGATTGAGGGTTCAACGGTTTACAGTTCGGGGCTTCCTGTTCGTCTCATCTGTTGCATGTGACAGAGCAGCCAATGGACTGCGCAAGCATCTTCTTGAAGAGCTCCATGGGGTTCAGGCTTTAGGGCCTAGGGTTTAGGGGTCTCGATTTTGCGGTTTAGGGGTTTTGGGGCTCTTTGTGTGTTTTAGGGCCTGTTTCGTCGCTTGCACTCTGAAGCCCCCATGTTGGGTGGGCTAGGACTCCCTCCATGTAGTGATCGCTAGCCCCCCAGAGGCATCCACTTCTCAAGCATCGACCCGTGCTTAGGGCTTAGTGGGATCGATTACTAAAGCTCTTTGGCAAGACGGTTTCGGGTTTAGGGTTTAGGGCTTGGGGCTAATTCGGAAAAGCAAAAACACCAGCTCAGAAGATCAAGGCCACTCGAAGGCAGCCCCAATCCCTCCAAACCCCAGAACGTGAAACCCCGAAAACCCCAACACCCTTACATCCTAAACTCCTACAACCCCAAAACCCAAAACCCCCAAAACCCTAAAATCCTAAAATCCTAAAATCCG